CAGATTTGGAGAAATGTAGCATTACATCACTTGCTCACAAGTGGATCCTCTGCACTGAATGGGTGCCGTCAGAATGAGAGCTGATAAAAACATCACAATAATCCACAAGTAATCCACAGCACTCCAGTCCATCAGTTAACATCTGGAGAAGACAAAAGCTGAAACTAATCCAGCATTAAGACGTTTTTAACTAAAATACCATATTGTCCATAATCCATAATAACGCTTCCTCCAATGAAAAAGTCCATCTCCTGTTGTCTCTCGCATCAAAATCCACACACGTTTGTTTAGAGCTGTTTTGGCTTTGGATGTTAACTGATGGACTGGAGTGCTGTGGATTACTTGTGGATTATTGTGATGTTTTTATCAGCTGTTTGGACTCTCATTCTGACGGCACCCATTCACTGCAGAGCATCCATTGCTGAGACACTGATGCAGTGCTACATTTCTACAAACCTGATGAAGAAACAAACTCATCTACATATGTGATGGCCGGAGGGTGAGCACATTCTTTTAGCACAAACACATTGGGTTTATTAAAAAAACTGCCTTATTTGCAAAAGTCTGTACTATTTGGCCACGGCAATTATCATTGTGTTATTACCATTTGCAGAAAGCAGGCAGTAAATGAAACTGTATTAAGAATATTACGAACAGCAGCAGTAATTTATCAAATGATGGAGAAGGATGTTCAGCATCTCAATACACTGTGAAAGAAATCACATAATTCACTGGTTCTCAATTCCAGTCCTCATGTACCACCGCTCTGCACATTTTGTATGTATCTCTAATCACTTCAGACGTGTGTTCTATTCGACAGTAAGTGCCCTGTGAAGTGGACATCACAGGATATTACACCATGATTCCAGTTCGAAGGGAGCGTATTTGTTCCATTCAAAGGGCATAAAAGTGTGCGAGACTTGAATTTAAACTGTATTTATTTACAGAGGTATATTATATCACACTTCACACTTTCATCTGTGTGTGAAGACGCTGCAGGCCGTGGCGTAGCGCAAATCCGTGAATGAATGCTCCGTAAACTTCAGCTGATTTCCCTGTGCTCAGGAGTAGGGAGCAGTGAACACTGTGTAGGGACCCTGTCAATCAGAACACAGTTCATATATAGAGCTCTCTTCTAATGAGCTGCTGATCTGAATCAGGTGTGTTAAACAAGAGAGACATGCAGAGCGCTGGTACGCGAGGACTGGAACTGAGAACCACTGGCATAATTCATTCACTGGATCTATGCAGGCAGCGAGTGCAAATCAAATACGCTATCAACAGGCACAATTAATTATGAGTGAATCAAAGCACTGCACCTCACTGGCTGCTTTATCCAGGAGAGCTTTCTTGTCGATGGTTTTGAAGGCTTCTAATGTGTTGGTGTTGTACAGAGTTCCAGAGGCTGGACAGCAGCGAGCAGGTGTGGCTCCATCACTGAAACATAAAATTCATACACTATATTACTTGTATTTGGGTATATTCACTATATGCATGGTTTTGTTCTTTTAGCATCACAGTGTAACCTGTATTGTATACTATTTGCACCATGTACCGACATTAACACGCTAGCTCTTCAACCAGGAAATGTTGACTAACTAGTTGTTGGCATTAACTAACTGCTTGATTTTTACCGTACATTTCTGCCAAATGGACATCAGCTTGAGATAGTCACCACTGATAAGCTATTACTAAATATAATGTAGGAACTTTAATTTTCTGTAAAGCTGCTTTGCAACGATTTGCATCGCGCTATACAAATAAACTCGAATTGAATTGATTGGCTAACCATAATAGCATAACATACTATGGATTATGGTAAAATCACTGTAATGTACAGCTGTGAGTGGCTTACTGTTTTTATACAGTGTGCAACATGACAAAAGAAACCAGTCAATAAACATAACATAAAGAAAAGGGAAATCCTTCAAAAACATAGCCAAGTTCTTAGAAATGTACTCTTTGCATGTACTCATGTTCATTTCATTCAGCTCTCACAATGTCATGTGGCATAACTAGCAAATTGTTTACTTTTTTTTTTTTTTTACAAAACCATGAATTGATAAATATCAAATATCATACGTTTTTGGATGGTTACACCATATGCATTGACTAATGTTGGCAGATACAACTTTTCATTTAAAATATGTATTAATAAATGTTAAAATGAACATGAACTAAAATTTATAAATGAGTATTGTTCATTGTTCATATTAAGAAATGTTGTGAGCTACTGTTAAGAAATGGAACCTTATTTTAAATTCAATTAACCTATATAGTAATATTAGAAAAATGTATAATAGAATTCTAGAACAGAATTAATAGAATATCAGCTTGACACATTATCTGTATGTAATGCACTTGTGTACACTTGTTCCCTATGCCTTTTGCAGAGCCATTTGAATCGAATGATTGGAAAGTGCCCTATGTTTACGAATTGAAGGGATCTATCTGTTTTATAATGTCGCCATGCTTTTTTTTTCTTTCTTGGAGAAAAGCAGCGTGGATGCAGATGGTTGCAGGGGCTCAGACGTAACCCCCTCATCACTTCTCCTGTCTCCACCAGACTACAGGGCTGCAAATAGCTGTGCCGTGTAGTCAGCGCAATTACTCACCCGTCATAAACGTAAAATTAATTCTACTGAAACAATCCTTGAGGATTTAACTGGCAAGAAAAAATCATTAATTTCACAAGTAACAGACGTGATATTGGGGCCATTATCCAAGGCTTTCAGAATACCCAACTACATTACATGGTTTTATTGCAGAAAACTTACACATCAAATGCGCTGAACTCCAGGGTCAAGCGTGTCGGCAAGCCAACGGGATCACCTGCAATTTATAACAAAGCACTTGCATTAAATTACAGCTTTCTCAGACATTTTCGGCTGTGAAATTTATAAATGAATCATTGGTGACACACACCTGAAAGAGGAGTATTGCCACAGTGGCATCTATAAATAAACACTTTTGTTTCTGCATAACGTCCAAGAGAAAGTGCCATATTGATTGTTTAAGAAGCGGAAAAAAACTAAAGATGGCTATGTTAGGATAGCACACTACTACTCTTAATATTTCAGAAGTATGCATGTATATTGCAGACAGTGTGTGCATGTTTTGTATGCATGCCTAAATGATCTACTACATTTGCCAGTATTCACATTGAGGACAGCTGCTGTATTCAGAATGCAACACTAGCACACTGCAGTCTTGTCTTAGTCTGAAGGTCTCTGCACACTGAGTCCGAATTTTTCGTCCGAAATGTTCGCACGTTGGAAAATAAATATGACCTCACGTTGTGTCGATCACGTTTACACACTGCCTCCGAAACCTTCATCCGTCGCAAAAAAATTCGGACCTGGTTTGATTTTCTGCGTTTTCGCATCTGTAGCAAGCATTTTGATAGGAAAGGATGACGAATACGAAAAAAACGGAAAAACGCATACGAAAGTTTCGGACTCAGTGTGCAAGGACCTTTAGTCTTCCCTGTTTGACCTAGTTTTCCCTCATGTGTCTGATTAGTTATCTCTCTCACCTGTCATTGTTAATTATCTCGTTAGTCCTCCGTCTTATTTAAACCCTGTGTTTGCTCTCAGTGTTTGTCCGGTCTCGTCTATGTTTAATGTGGATACCATGGATAGCACCCTGATCGTTGGCTTATTAAATATTATTAAACTCTTCTTCGTCTTTATTGGATTG